GAAGTGATGGCAAACAATGTTGATAGAAATATGGATGCTAAAGGTCATTCTGATGGGGTTTCCAACAGAAATGAGCAACGTATTATGGGAAACTCGAGGAAAGGTGATCCTTGTTAAAAAGTGGCAAAGAACTTGGCTGAATTGTGTTCATGTTCCAGTGTTTTGTGGAAGGTATAACTTGTGAGCAATAAAATTGGGTATTTGTTTGAAGCTGTTTCTAAGCAAAGTATTGAAGGTGCAGCTTGGCTTCTCTTGAGTTTTTCTAGTAAAATATGAGAAGAGAGAAAGGACTTAAAGACAGAATTGTGAAAAGGGAAGCAGAAACATAAGGTTTGAAAAATGCTCCATCTATCCCTATTGCAAAAAATGTGGAAGGATGTTCTGAAGAAAACACAAGGGTGTGGCCAAGTGACCCTTTGATATGGAGAGTAGCGTAGGTATGAAGCATGCACTTCAGGGAAGAGACTGGAAGGAAAGAAGGAAGATTGTTGTACTTTTTTTTTTTTAAGGTTTTATTTATTCATTTGACAGAGAGAGACAGCAAGAGAGGGAACACAACAGGGGGAGTGGGGGAGGGAGAAACAAGCTCTCTGCGGAGCAGGGAGCCCGATGGGGGGCTCAATCCCAGGACCCTGGGATCATGACCTGAGCCGAAGGCAGATGCCCAAGGACTGAGCCACCCAGGCGCCCCCCAGATTGTTGTACTTCTTAAACTTTACAGGATGGGATCACAGAACTACTCAACTTCTAACATGCTCTTTAAGACAAGAGAAGAAGATTGGGGTGCCTGCCTCAGTTGGTAGAGCATGTGACTCTTGATCTAAGGGTCATGAATTTGAGCCCCACACCAGGCATATAGTCTACTTAAAAAAAAAAAAAAAGAAGAAGAAGAAGAAGGATCCCAAAGGCAATTCAGAGATCATCAGAGCTGCCTCAGTTTCAAAAGGCAGGTTTGGGGTGGGGGAGGGACCACATTGCCTGGGTTTTAATAGGCCAGATATTGAGCCCCACCCAAATCTGTGGGCACCAGACTCTTGCCCAGCAGAGCCGTGGGAGTGGGGCCCCTCCTGAAGACTCCACAGTAGTGCTGCTGACATTTTATTCTAGCCCAGGAGAGCTGCTGTGTGGACTGTGTCCAGCAAAGCCATGGGGCAGGTATACCCCAGGGGGTCCAGTGTGTCTGAAAGACAAGACCTCTACCCAGTGTACCTGGAAGGTGGTGGCAGAGCATCAAGTTAAAGATGGCTCTCAGCCTTAAGATTTAATATTTGCCTTGTTGGGTTTGGAACTGGGTTGGGACCTGTCACCCCTTCCTTCTCTATTTTTTAAGATTTTGTTTATTTATTTGTCAGAGAGAGAGAGCACAAGCAGGGGGGCAGCAGACAGAGGGAGAAATAGGCTCCCCACTGAGCAGGGAGTCCGAAGCAGGACTCGATCCCAGGACCCTGGGATCATGACCTGAGCCCAACGCAGATACTTAACCAACTGAGCCACCCAGGTGTCCCTCTCTCTATTTCTTTTGGAGTGGTAATGTCTACCCTGTGCCTTCCTACCATTGTATTTTGGAAGTACATAATTTGTTTGATTTCACAGGTTCATAGCTGGAAGGGAATTTACCTCAGGATGAATCATACCTTGAGTCTCGCACATATCTGACTTGGATGCTATTTAGAGGAGACTTTGACTTTTAGCCTTTTAAGTTGATGCTGGAATGAGTTAAGGCTTTTGGGGTTGTTGGGATGGAAAGGCTATTTTACATGTAATAAGGACGTGAATGTTGAGAGCTAGAGACAGAATGCTATGGTCTGAATATTTATTCCCCCCCCCCCCAATTTATGTTGAAATCCCAACTCCCATAGGTGATGGTATTAGTAGCTGGGGCCTTTGGGAGGTACTTAAGTCATGAGAACAGAGTCCTCCTGAATAGGCTCAGTGCCTTATAAAAGAGGATCCAGAGAGATCCCTTCTCCCTTCGGCCATGGGAGGATATAACAAGAAGTCTGTGACCTAGAAGAGAGCCCTCATCCAACCATGTGGCACCCTAATTTTGGACTTCCAGCCTCCAGAACTGTTAGAAATAAATTTCTTTTGGGGCGCCTGGGTGGCTCAGTCAATTGAGTGACTGACTCTTGATTTCAGCTCAGGTCATGATCTCAGGGTCATGGGATGAAGCCCCGCATTGGGCTCTGTGCTCAGTGGGGAGTCTGCTTGTCTCATTCCCTCTGCTTCCCCCCTCCCCCCGCCTGCTTTGTCTCTCAAAAAAATAAATAAAACCTTTAAAATAAAATAAAATAAATTTCTGTTGTTTATAAGCTATCCAGTTTGTGGTATTTTGTTATAGCAGCCCAATGGACTAAGATAGAAAAGGCTGAGCTCTAAGTCTGGGTGTGCTTACAGTGGGGTCTTGAGCAGCTCAAGGGCCTTCTGGAGTCTTGGTTTCCCTAGAGTGCATAAGGAGAGACTGAATGAAAAAATCCCTAAGATCTCTTCTATATCTAGAAGGATTCTAATCTGGGATCATGGATGAAGCTAAAGTCTGGGTAAAAATATTCCATATCCAGTGGTGTTGTCAGTAACAGTATTAATCCCAGTGGGAAACAACAGACCAGAGCCTAGCCAAAAATTTAACAGATATGAGAAATAAGACAGTCCTAGGGGGCCTTATAAGCTCTCCCTGAAGGAAAGACCAGACGGCCCAATCTATCCCCACATCACTAACTGGCTGTGAGCTTATACACATGTCTAGAGGAGATGCAAGAGGGCCCATCAGAAGGCAAAAGCCAGAGCAGACTAAAAAACTGCCTAAATTTTTAATGTGCTCCCCAACACACACACACGCATGCACACACAGACAATTAACAGAAGGTGGAAGCCTTAGTGGCACAAGGTCTTTGAGCACAACATCTGCCCAAACCTTTGGCTGACCATTAGGTGACTGGCTGACCATTAGTCACAAAGGTGACACCTATGAAGCTAGGCTTAAAAATAAGAATGAGTGGGGCACCTGGCCGGCTCAGTCAGAGGGCATGCAACTTGATCAAGCCTCACATTGAGTATAAAAATTACTTTAAAATAAATTTTTAAAAATAAAAACAAGAATTTTTTTAAGAAAAGATTTTATTTATTTGAGGGAGAGACAAAGCACAAGCAGGGGGAGGGACAGAGGGAGGACAAACAGACTCCCCACTGAGTGGGGAGCTCAATGTGGGGCTTGATCCCAGGACCCTGAGATCATGACCTGAGCTAAAGTCAGACGCTTAACCAACTGAGTCACCTAGGCTCCCCCAAAACAAGCATTTTTATATATTTTTAAGAGATTCTATTTATTTGACAGAAAGAGAGAGCGCACAAGCAGGCTAAGTGACAGGCAGAGAGAGAGGGAGAAGCGGGCTCCCCGCTGAGCAGAGAGCCAGCTGCAGGGCTGGATCCTAGGACCCTGGGATTATGACCTGAGCTGAAGGCAGATGCTTAACCAACTGAGCCATCCAGGTGCACCAAAACAAGAATTTTTGAAAAGAAAAACTGAGCAGAGACTTTAGGTTCTGCATACCATAGGGGAAACAGAATCCACAGATTTAGTCTAGTCAAGTTATTAAAAAAAAACCAAAAACCTTTGGGGAGAAAGTCAGAATCCATAGTTGCTATATTATAAAAAAACATACAAAAAATTATGAGACATTCAAAGAAACAGGAAAGCATAACCCATCCTCAGCTCAGAAGAAAAAAAAAAAATAGACAATAGAAACTGTTTCTGTGTAGGTCCAGATGTTAAACTTAACAGATAAAGACTTCAGCTATTATAGAAATTTTTAAAGTAAATTTTGAATAAAATTCTGATATATGCTATAATAGTGATAAGCCTTGAAGACATTTATGCTAAAGGACACATTACTCCAAACACAAAACAGGAAATATTGTATGATTCCACTTATATGGGGTATCTAGAATTGTCAAATTCACAGAGACAAAGTAGAAAAGTGCTTACCAGATGCTGAAGGGAGGAGAAAATGGGGAGTTACCATTTTAGGGGTACAGGGTTTCAGTTAGGGATAATGAAAAAGTTCTGGAGATGGATAGTGGGGATGGCTGCATAACAATGTGAATATACTTAATGCCACTGAACTCTACACTTAAAAACTGTTAAAATGGTAAAGTTTATGTTATGTTATATTTACCACAATTTTTAAAAATCTGGAGTTGAAAAGTACAATAACAGATGAAAAATTAACTAGTGGGACTAAATAGTAGATTCAAGAAGGCAGAAGAAATAATCTGTAAACTTGAAGATAGAGCAATAGAAATCATCCAATGTGAAGAACAGAGCCTCAGAGACCCATGCAACATCAGGTATGCCAATTATGTGTGTTGAGGATGCCAGAAACAGAAGAGAGGAAAAGGGGCAGAAAAAAATATTTGAAGATATAATGGCTAAAAACTCCCCAAATATGATGCACAACAATCTGTAGATCTAAGAAGCTCAATAAATCCCAAGGAGGATAAATACAAAGAGAGCTATACCTAGATACATTATAGCCAACCTGTTGAAATACAAAGAGAAAATCTTGAAAGGAGCTAGGAGAACTCATCACATATAGAGGAACAACAAAACAAAAACCAAATGACAAATAACAGCAATGGAAACCAGAACGCAGTGGGCTGATATATTCAAAGTGTTACAAGGAAAAAAAGACAAAAACCCAAAACCTGTCAAACAAGAATCCTATATACAGCAAAACTATCCTTAAAACAAATATGAGTGTTGCCTAGCTGGCCCAGTCGGTACAGCATGTGACTCTTGATCTCAGGGTTGTGAGTTCAAGCCTCACACTGGGTGTAGAGATTACTTTAAAAAATAACATTTTTTTTTTTCTAAGTAGGCTTCATGCTGGATGTGGAGCCCAACATGGGGCTTGTACTTACGATCCTGAGATCAAGACCTGAGGTGAGATCAAGAGTCAGATGCTTAACTGACTGAGCCACCCAAGCTCCCCAAAAATAAAATCTTAAAAAACAAAACAAAATGAAAAAACAAAGATGAAATAAAGACATTCCCAGGAAAAAGGCCTCAAGAATTTGTTGCTAGAAGACCTACCTTACAAGAAATATTAAAGGTAATCATTCAAGCTATAAAGAAATGATTCCAGACAGTAATTTGAATCTGCACAAAGAAATAAACAGGCATTTAAAAAGGTAAATATATGGATAAGATTGCATAAAACATATTATATGTTAACTACAATTTTTTTTTTTAATTTGGTAGTTGTTTATTTATCAAGAGAAACTATTCCATAACACAATATTCATGTTTCATAGTTCAGGAACACAGGTCAGTGACAAACTTCAATGGAACTCAACCCAAAGAAATTCTTTACATTCCAAAATCACTTGGCACTCTGAAAGATACCAGCCTTCTTCATCTCCTCAAAATCTTTCATGGAATCATAATTTCTGTAGAAATCTGCATATGCCTTCTTTCTTGGTTTAGCCACAACAAACTTATAGAAAGCTGCAACCCCCAGGGATACAGCAAACACTCCAACAGTATGAAATCACAATCACTTGGCCAGAGGGCCTCACATCTGAGGTTTCATCAAAGCACTGGAAGCCATGGTAGCTGTTGTCCTCAACACCAACCTCAAACCCAGCATCCTTCCTAACTGATACAGAAATGGACAGCCTAACTATACTTCAATTAAAAAAAAAATAGTTGAATAAAAAAATTAAAAGATTGCATAAAGCAATAATTATATCTTTGTATTTGGGGGTTTGTGGCATATATAAATGTAATAAATATTACAACTATACAAAGTAAGGGGAAGAAAAAGTGATCTATATTAATCTCAAATATCCCTGATGGTTTAGTGGTTAGGATTCAGTGCTCTCAAATAGACTATAATGTAATCTCTAGAACCACCAAGAAAATGATCTAATGAAGGGTTAATATGCAGAATATATAAAGAACTTCTATAATTCAACAACAAAAACCCAAATAACTTGATTTTAAAATGGGTATATGACTTGAATAGATACTTCTCTGAAGATTATAGACAAAGGGCCAACAAGCATATGAAAAGATGCTCAACATCACTAATGATTAGAGAAATGCAGAGTGAACCACGAGATATCACCTCACAACAATTAGGATAACTTCTATCAAAAAAACAAAAACCAAGCAGAAAACAGTATTGATGAGGATGTGGAGAAATTAGAATCCTTGTGCATGGTTGGTGAGATTATAAATGGTGCAACCACTATGGAAAACAGTGTGGTAGTCCCTCAAAAAAATTAAAAATAGAATTACCATATGATCCAACAATCCCAAGTCTAGGTATATATTCAAAAGAATTAAAAGCAGGGTCTTGAAGAGATATTGTACATCTATATTCATAGCAGCATTATTCACAATAGTCAAGATATGGAAGCAACCCAAATGTCCATTGACTGATGAATGGATAAACAAAATGTGGTATATACATACAATGGAGTATTCAGAAAAACTGTTACATGGATCCTGATACATGCTACAACATGGATGAACTTTGAGGACATTATGCTTAGTGAAATAAACAAGTCAGAAAAAGACAAATACTATATGATTTCATTTATATGACATGTCTAAAGAAGTCAAATTCATGGAAAATAATGTAGAATGGTGGTCACCAGGGGCTGGGAGAGGGGGAAGTAGGGAGTGCTTGCTTAATGAGTATAGAGTTTCAGTTCTGATTAAAAAGCTCTGGTGAGGGCGCCTGGGTGGCTCAGTCATTAAGCGTCTGCCTTTGGCTCAGGTCACGATTCCAGGTCCTGGGATCGAGCCCTGCATCGGGCTCCCTGCTCAGCGGGAAGCCTGCTTCTCCTTCTCCCACTCCCCCTGCTTGTATTCCCTCTCTCACTGTGTCTCTCTCTGTCAAATAAATAAATAAAATCTTTAAAAAAAAAAAAAAAAGCTCTGGTGAGGGGAGCCTGGGTGGCTCAGTTGGTTAAGCGACTGCCTTCGGCTCAGGTCATGATCCCAGGGTCCTGGGATCGAGCCCTGCATTGGGCTCCCCGCTCTGCGGGAAGCCCGCTTCTCCCTCTCCCACTCACCCTGCTTGTGTTCCCTCTCACACTGTCTCTCTCTGTCAATTAAAGAAATAAAATCTTTAAATAAATAAATAAAAAGCTCTGGTGATCTATTAAGCACAACAATGGGAATAGTCTTTTTTTTTTTTTTAAGTAGCCCAATGTGGGACTTGAACTCATGACCCCAAGATCAAAAGTTGCATGCTCACCTGACTGAGCCAGCCAGGAACCCCAGAATATTCCTAACACTACTTAAAATGTACACTTAAGATAATTACATTTTACCATAATTTTTTTTTTTTAAAGATTTTATTTATTTATTTGACAGAGAGAGACACGGTGAGAGAGGGAACACAAGCAAGGGGGAGTGGGAGAGGGAGAAGCAGGCTTCCCGCAGAGGAGAGAGCCCGGTATGGGACTCGATCCCAGGACCCTGGGACCATGACCTGAGCCGAAGGCAGTTGCTTAACAACTGAGCCACCCAGGCGCCCACCATAATTTTTTTAAAAGAATAAATATATGGTAAAAACAACAGTGGAATTAAAATGGCTTACTAACACAAAGGAAGTCAGTAAAGGAGGAACAAATGGGCACATTCTTATCATTAATTACATTAGATTTGGAAGGACTAAACACTCTAATCAAAAAGCAGAGACTGGGATGCCTGGGTGGCTCAGTCGTTAAGCCCCTGCCTTTAGCTCAGGTCATGATCCCAGGGTCCTGGGATCGAGTCCGGCTTCGGGCTCCTTGCTCAGCGGGGAGCCTGCTTCTCCCTCTGCCTGCCACTCCCCCTGCTTTTGTGGTCTTGTGCAGTCTTTCTCTGACAAATAAATAAATAAAATCTTAAAAAAAAGAGAGAGAGACTGTCAGAGTGGATAAAAAACAAAATCCAACTCTGTGTGGTCTAAGAAACACACTTTAGATTCAAAGACATAAATTGGGGGAAAAAAAGACAAATTGAGGGTGCCTGGGTGGCTTAGTCAGTTGGACATCCAACTCTTGATTTTGTTCTGCTCAGGTTGTGATCTCAGGGTCATGAGATCGAGCCCACCCCCATCCCCCCTTCCAGCTCTGCACTCAGCAAGGAGTCGGCTTGAGATTCTCCCTCTGCCCCTCCCACATTCACTCATGCTCTCTCTCTAAAATAAATAAATCTTTTTTTTTTTTTTTTAAGAGACATAAATAGGTTAAAGGTAAAAGTATGAGGTGCCTGCCTGGCTCAGTCAGTAGAGCATGCAATTCTTGATCCTCTGGTTGTAAGTTCAAGCCCCACTTTGGGTATAGAGATTACTTTAAAAAAATAAAATTTAAAAAAAAAAAGTAAAAGTATGGAAAAACATATACCATATAAATAGTAACCATAAGAGAGCTAGAGTGGCTGTATTAATATTGTTAAATATATACATTGAGATAAATATCACTAGAAACAAAGAGGAACATTTATAATTATTAACATATCAATTTGTCAGGAATTTGTCTAACTATTATTAATGTATACACACCTAAAAACAGCTCCCAAATACGTAAAGCAAAAATTGACAGAAGTAGGGAGAGGGGTGGAGTGATGGGTAAAATGAGTGAAAGGAATTAAGAGGTACAGACTTCCACTTATAAAATAAGTAGGTCATGAGGATAAAAAGCACAGCATAAGGAATATAGACAATAATGTGGTAATACACTTACTGTAGTGAGCATTTTGTAATGTATGTAATTCAATCACTGTGTATACAACTGGAACTAACTTAATATATGTCCACTATACTTCAATTAACGTTTTGGTTTTTTTTTAATTTAAAACCATGGAAATGTCCTGGTCAAACCAGGAGGGTTGATCACCCTAGCAAGAGAGCAGTTCCTAGAGGCCAGCATCCTGGGCATGATGAACATTACAGAGAGTGAACTTAGAGGAGAAGTCAGAAGATACACACTATGAGGCCGTGGTAAATATTTATAAATTTGAATAAAGAACCATGATTAATTATCTTAAAAATTGACAGAAGTTAACAAAAGAAGAAATAGGTAAGTCAACAGAGTAACAGGTCTGGATCAATAACTTAAACTTCCATCCTAAGAAAGTGGAAAAAAAAGAACTAAACCCAAATCAAGCACACTGGAGTAAAAAATAAAGATGAGAGTGGTAACTAATGAAACAGAAAACAAAAAGCAATAAATAAAAATTAATAAAACCCAAAATTAGTTATTTGAAAAGATCAACAAAAATCGACAAACAAGAGAGAAAACACAAATTTCCAAAATCAGGAACGAAAGAGATCTTGCTAGTGATCCTTCTGAAATTAAAAGAATTATAAAGGAATATTATAAACAACTTTATGCCAATAAGACAACTTAAATAAAATGAACAAATTCCTAGAAAGACACCATTTACAAAAACTGACTTGAGAAGAAACAGAAAATCTGAATAGACAATAACAAGTGAAGAAATCAAGCTAATAATTAAAAATCTTCCCAGAAAGAAAAGCCCAGTCCTGGAAGTCTTCGTTGATGAATTTTCTTATCAATATCTGAAAGAAGAAATACCAGTCTTTCACAAACTCAGAAAACAGAAAACATTTTCCAATTCATTCTCTGAGGCCAGTATTATCCTGATACCAAAGCAAACAAAGACATCACAAGAAAGGAAAACTACAGACCAATATCCCTCATGAACACAGATGCAAAAATTCTTAGCAAATATTAGCAAACCAAATCCAGCAACATATTACAAAAAATTATACATCACAGCCAGGTGGGATTTGTCTCAGGAGTGCCAAGTTAGTTTACCATCCAAATCAATTAATGTAATATACCATATTAATAGAATAAAGGGCAAAACCCACATGATCATCTCAATAGATGCAGAAAAAAACATTTGGTAAAATTCAACACCCATTCTAAATAAAAATTCTCAACAAACTATGAAAAGAAAGGAATTTCCTCAACCTGATAAAGGGCATCTATAAAAAAAAAACCAAACTAACATCATACTTAATGGTGAAAGATTGAATACTTTTCCTTCCTAAAATCAGGAACAAGGCAAGAATGTTGACTCTTGCCATTCTACTCATACTGGAGGTTCTAGCCAGTGCAATAATTGCTAAATAAATATTATAGGCTTGTAGATTGGAAAGAATTAAAACTATCTTTATTCACAGAGGGCATGATTCTATGTGAGGAATGGGTTTTTAAAAACCAGAATAAACATATTCAGTGAAGTCACAGGGTTCAAAATCAATATACAAAAAAAATCAACTGTGTTTCTGTATACCAGCAAGGAGCGATCCAAAAATAAAACTATAGAAATAAGCATTGACAATAGCATCAATAATGGTAGAATACAAATGAAGAAATTTTACAAAAGAAGTGCAAGATTTATACACTGAAAATTATAAAACACTGCAGAGAGAAATTGAATATAAGTAAACGAAGAGACATTCCATGTTCATGGATTGGAAGACTCAATGTTGTTAGGATCGCAATTCGCCCTAACTTGATCTATGGAGTCAATGTCATCCCTATCAAAATCCCATTAAGCATTTTTATAGAAATTAGC